ACCATCTTTGAACAGAGGCGGGGGTTTACGACACCAACTCTCTGCCATCTATAATCCAGTTTTGAGATCCCTTCCCAGACGCCTTAACGCCCACTCACATCCTGGGCCATCTGACCTCAGGAATTCGCATGATAAGGTGGGGCCAGGTTTCACAATGAACTCACCCGAAACTCTGGCTGATTGGGACCCACACCCAGTTTCACACCTTGGCTCAGGCGATTAGAGGATCATCAGGGGGTCCTTTTGTCCCTCTGTGGGGGGAAACTCCCACTAGGTTTATATCTGGGACTCTCCACCATTTGACCTTAGAACTGAAGAAGCTTCTCGGATGAGAGGTGAAACGTCTTCAAGCAACTTAAAGAAGTCCAGACGCTTTTCTTTGCAAGCTCCTTTGACTACGATGACCTGGATGACTGAGAACCTTCACAGACAATGTTGCAGAATATTTTTTGTATTATAAACTTTTAGATAAGATCACTTTAACGTCCTCCATCAATAAAAAAAAAGTTTATATTACATTTTCAACCAAACAGCACGTTCTCACATGAACATATAAACTCTTTAGTTTAAAATGTAGCAACAACTCAGCGTCCTTTCTAGTCCATCTTTAGATTTATTTACAAGCAAGTGATACAGATACTGAGACCAAACTATCTTATTTTCTTTGTATATATGGTATGCTGGTATGTGTTTTGCTCTTCATTTAACTTGATTTTCGAAGAAAAAAATTAAACAAAATAATACCACATTAGGAGGGAAAGAAAATCTATTTCACGACAACTTTGTGCTGTTTCTAAGAGAAGGAAAACAGAGTACCTGAAAACAATTTTCTTTGAAACTTTTAATTTCTTCTTTTTTATTGATCACATAGAGGCTGGCTGTGGTTTACTGCTCTCTTCCTGTCACACTGTCTGACATCTGTTCATCTGTTGGTTTTTGTTCAGGCTGCAGGGATCATTTCTCACTGTGGGAACCTTTCCAACAAACACAGTAGTAAGTGGCTGTAAGTTGGGGTTTAATATCTTTGATGACCAATTCACAGCCACCTGGTTTTCTTAAAGCATTGAAATCTTGTTTCTGGGGATGATTGTAGCGTGAATTAACTGCCCCATCAGCCAGATCAATGCGCAGAATCACTTTAAGAGGATCTTTTTCTGCACCAAGCAAAGCCCAAATCCGAGCCGCCCAGAGGAAAACCGGCCGCGGGAGGATCAGAATGGGAACGGCGCGGGCAGCAGAATACCACTGTTAACAATGCACCGGAGTATACTGTGTGCGTTTGTTTCTGGCTCTGTGTCTAGACCGCCCACTCATTTCAAGGATGTGCGAGACAGGTCAGGCCAGGATCCGGTACCAGTTAAATACTGTTTTTGGCTGTTAATGTGTGTTCACACTGTCATTGCTTTTACAGCTTCTCTGGAAGAATCTCAAAACTTGATTATATGATGCAGAGTATGGTTCAAACTGTATTCACCAGCTCTCCCAGTGTTGTCTTGAAACCCATCACCCCCAACGTTCCAAACTGCTCCTGAATCAGCATGTTCTTCTCCATATGGGTTAACCAAGTGCTGTTCTAAGAGACACAAGACAGATAGATGGGGACATGATGGCATAATCAAATTGCCACGTCCTCTTTTCATTAATCCATTCCTCCTGCCTCCTCTGTCCCAAATGGAACATTGGCAGCTCGACGGTAAGATGTGACTTTGACCTTTTAGATCGGAGGATTGCCTGGATCTTTTCCTGTGGATGTAGGTGCGACTTCGTTCTTTATGGTTTGTTTTTCTACTCATGGTTGAACTTTGTGTGTCCCTCCCTGAAATCCCATTATTCTGTTTTTGGATTCACTACAGCTCGCTTCGACCTGATACGAACCAGGTACTTAGACACAGTATTACAAGGAAGAAGCGAGCAAGCTGAGGGGAAGCCGGAGAACGCACTTATTCTGAAAACCTAATATCTAGCAGTGTAGTCTGATTTGATAAAGTTCCTTCCTCTGAAGTGGTGTAAGCGGTGGGGAGGAGATGGAGATATATAAAATGACCAACAAAGCTACTGATGCTCTAGCTGTATTAGGCCATATCCATCCCAATGTTACAAAATGTTAGAAAATATACGCCACTTTTGCTAGTTTCAGTATTTCAATTTTAACTTGTAGAAAATGCGACCGAAACAAATGTGAATTGTCCCTCCCGAGCTTTCTAACAGGAGTCCTCAGGCCCGAAAGCCTCTGTCCCCCCATCAGCCCCTGCATGTTACCCGCCGTTTGTAAGCCACTTAAGGACACAAACGCGTGTGATTAGAACCGGAATGCCCAGTGCCCCGCCCCCGTTGACCCTTTTCTCTGAAAAGATGTCTTAGCCTGACTTCTTACGCACGTACGCAAATATTGTGATTGACTACTGCGAGTACTGCTCCCAATACACTGAGCAAAAATTCTCCAGTGTTTAAATTAACAGCGTTGATTGACAGTTAACTAAACCCAGTTGTGTTATGCATGTTCTTAAGCAATTTGTCCATTAGAGTGAAATGCACAGTCTAAAACCCATTGAAAATTTCTAAAGCACTGTTATGGCAAAGCTTTAGGTCCATATTAATAGCAGAATTTCTACGAAGCAGTCTTTGATAGCACTCATATATTTGCTAAGTTGACCGAACCACTTGTTCTGTAAGCACATTCATCTAAATGCAAATAGTCTAACTAAACATAGTTTACCCAGGTACATGGCCAACTGAGCTAAGAAGTAGCTTTAATATACCAATAATATCAATTTAATTGAACTACAGTTCAATAAATATTCGAAAAAAGCCAAAAAAACAAAGAACGCAGATCTCTAATTAAAGTGAGTATGTCACACTTCATCTGTCCGAGAGGTAAAATTAAAATTTATGAAAGAGATCAGTTATGTTATAACAACTGAGAGCTGTCTATATGTTCCACCACCTCTGAGGGTTAGAATTAAACTGACTTGTCCAATAAGCCGTAGAGAATAACCCCTAGTTCAGGTTTTGAAAGAATTATATCATATATAAAGCAACCTAATACTGTAGAGATATGCCTAACATTTTTTTTTCATCAGTATCTACTGAAGCATAATCTCATAAATTTAAAGCACCAATTATCATATACCACAGGTCGTTATACGACAAGTAAAGAAGGCTCTTTCCTCGTTGCCCACCACGGTGATAGACTGGTGATTCTAGTTTTATAATACTAATCCAACAAAGTGAACTACAGCTCACACAAGTGTACTTTTGTACTTCTAGGGGAAAAATTGTACAGTTACTGTACTAAAAATGTAAAAATTTTTTAACAACCTGATGGAAGTTTGTAATGACTGCTGGTGTTATATGTGTCCGGCATCTTTATAAACTACCACGTCTGAGATCTCTCAGCTTTGTGAGAGGCCGGTACTAATAGAACGAAATCCTATAACAGCCAAGGCTCTTTTAACTGTTTGCTAATACAAAGTAAGATCAGTCGAAAAAACGAGTGTTGCATGACAAATAGTGGGTTTTAATATGAATGAGTCTTATTAAGACCTTAAATTCGTTTGAAACCACGTTGCCCTTTTTCGTTGATTATGTTCTTTCATCAAGCTCGCCTTGTTTGGGCAGTTACCTAGCTTATGCTGCTTATATTTCAGAGCTCCCACTTTACACTTCCAGTTCTAACTCTTGAATGAGTAACTTATAGAATCATTCAACTACATAAAAAAAATTCTGATTCCTCCCCAAGGTATAGAACACTGAGTCAGACTACTGTTCTATTTTTGATATAACTGAATAGTATTCCTATAAATTATTCTTTGTTTTGTGCCACATAGCCACTGAAAGTAGTCCAGGACGCTCTAAATCTATCTCGTCAGTAATATCACATTTCTAGTGTAAAACACAACCTTACCTCACTCTAAAACAACCTATTTCCTCCCTATTGGCCCCTCCTTAGTTTCTCCGCTCCAATTCAAAACATAAACACGCACCTACTCGGCTCATCTTAACAGACCTTTACTATAACTTTGTCTCATATTTTACTGTCCCTTTCAACTCCAATAGTTTCTTGTGTTCCATATGTTGTCCACAACATAGTTGCTTACACTGTTTTACGCAACATGGCAGCTAGGTTGCTATACAATGCGGGATTTCGCTAGATTACCTCTCTTAAAAAATCCCGCAAAATAATTGAAGACAAGTAGGAAGAGTTCTTCTAGGAAGAGACAATCTGAAACCGTTCATTGTCTCTTCCTTTTCGTTGCTTATGAGCCACATTAACCCCAGATGCAAACACGTCCATCTTTTGGAGAATGTACCATTAAAAAGAGGTAGAATGCAGTGGAATTTCCAACATTTGTCTGGCAGTTTGTTTCCCTTCGTTGGATCTCTACACTACAAAGCAAGCGATATATCATATATTTAAGTTTCATGAATTAAGGTCTCTATCGACTGAAAAAAAAGCCCCACAGCTCATGTCATCCACTAAAAGACACATGTTTAGTATGAGGGGAAAAGAAAAAATTAGTGTGAGCTTTGTTTTGGATTCTCATTTGAAAATCACGGTTAAACATTATTGTATATGCAAGCCAAGATCTTTGTTGGGAAACTTTTTGCTGTGAGTTGCCTGCTCGTGCTGATGATTTATTAAAAAAGAACACCACACAATGAAGAAAGAACCGCCATCAGATGTTACCTCAATATGCCGACTACTAAGAATATAAAGATTACCAACATTCTAAGAAAGCGGCAGTCTAGCAATAGATACGAAAACACAGGTTAAAGAGCTCGACAAGCCCAGGTTCACCTTCCATCACAACGGATTATATAATCATATAATTAAGAAATAGCTTTCAAGATGTGATAGTAGAGTAGCTCCATTTGGAATTTGAGACACGAGGAAAGCTCCGAGGGCCTGAGAGTAGTTATTCAACTACATAAAAAGTATAATATATATTAATTAGTCATTAGTATCATTTACGGATTTTTACATAGAATCTGTGATTATTGAAGAATGCTTTTATTAAGCATTCTAATAATCACAAAAAGCGCATTATACCCAGTCGTCTTGCCTTCGTCTAATTAATCATGTTGACACTCATCACATAAGACAAAATATGATGTTGATGCCTATTCATTCACACACTGGTGTACGTGTGCCACAGCTGCCCTGGGGCAGACTGACAGAAGCCAGGCTGCCATATCGCGCCATCGGCCCCTCTGGCCAACACCTGTAGGTCGTAGGTGAAGTGTCTTGCCCAAGGACACAATGATCAGGAGTCAGAGTCTGAACCAGCAACCTTCTGGTTGCAAGACGAGCTTCCTAAACCCCTGAACCACGGTGTAAGACTGCTGCTGCATAAATGTGATATTCTACGCTGGTTACAATTTTTTATATACATATAAAAACCAGCAGGGCATGTCACTCGAAAACCTACAGCAACTTACAGAAAAAAAGCAGTTTGAAATCCTGTTTACAGACGAGATGCTGTGATAAGGTTTCATTAATTTTATTTTTACATTTTTGTATTCACATTATTTCATTTTATTGTACTGAAAAACAGAATATTGGCTGCATACTTACATTTATTCACTTAGCTATGTGGCAAATTGAATCACATGGAAGCTCAGCTGTTACTTGGAATCCAACCAAAAAACGATCATGAACGATTGAAGATTGTTGTAAAGTTCGAATGATACGTGTAAGTTTTGTTTGGCTGGAGCAAACATCGAACGATGCCATTACAAGTTCAATAAGCTAAACGTGACTGTTACACTGAGCATTAAACACTGGGAACCGTGTGAGTACACACGCCAATAGATATATGACAATAAGTAAGCTGTTTTTAGATTTGTTAACTGGACATGTCGTATATTATACTTTTAAATCTCCTACGTTGGCAGGTGAAGGTTTGGAACAAAACGGGTTCAGGACTGATAATAATTTTGGTATTTTTCGCAATTTTGCATTTTCCAGTTGTCAGCCACGGACTCAGTTTCTGTACATCCACAGAAACTGCAAAATAAGATCATTTAAGAATAGAAATGAAAATAACTGCTCAAAGGACAAAAAGAAAAACTGTATCTTTAAACAACTCATATATGACATTTATTTATCATGTACAATATATGATATCCATATCCACAATTAAAATCCACTATTCTAGCGAGTTGCATTTTAAAGTTATTTAAGCAAATGTTAGGTTACGGTATCTCTACAGCTAGAAGTTTCTAAAAACACATCTGTTTTTTGTTTGTTTAGTTTCAAAACCAAAAGCCTTGTGCGACAATTTGAACGGATGTCAAGAGAAGAAACATCTCGTGAGACAAGGCGTTTCGTAACCTAGTATCTGGAATGCACCTGCGACAAAGTAAACAAATGCAATGTTGCCAGCAGTACTATGAAATCTCCTAATCCAACAGTGAGCCTCGTAACTCGTGGCCCGACTAGCAGCTCACAGAAGCTATTATATGGGAGTTTTGACGAGTTTCTGTTACGGCTGACAGTTAAAAGCAACGCAGATTCAACACCAAGAACTGCGGTACTTCACATCACTGCCTAGAATCATACAACAAGAAGCTTTACTCGTTCGCTTCTGTTTGGCCGCCATCACAACTGGGGCCAACACGACAGAAGCCCTATGGTCCCCAGGTTCACCCAGAGAAACACCACTGCACTAAAATGCTTTTCCTCCCTGCTGCTCTTGCTAGTCTGATGTTCAGGGGGTTTCCAGCAATCAGGAGCCACAATCAAACCTGTAACAAAACCCGCACTCATGGTCACTACGATTTACCAGCTCCCATAGGTATCTGTCTGATTCTCATACCCACGCTCTGCGAATTCGCACAAATAATGCAAAGAACTTCGATGTCTCTTATTCAGAATAGCCACAATTTTTAAAGCATAAAGAACGAATAATCTACTAATACTAGCCAAATATATGGTGAGTAGTGTGAAAGACTTCTTGGTATTTCGAGCGATCGTTCCTCCCTTAGATGATTCCAAGCAGATGGGATCTATCTACCAGGAAGACCCAATTCTCGCTATCATCAACCGTAATACATCATACTAACTCTGTACAGAGTGAAAAAAAGTCCAAAAGATAACTCGCTTAGTTCTCACTCACCTTTTTGTTCTGACAGTATGATGGTACGTCTATGCTCTTAAACCGACAATCTGAAAACCAAAAACTTCAAGTTCCACTCATTCAATCTAAAAGGTCCATTAATCTTTAATGGCCCACAATCTACTGTGGTGAAGTTAGAAAAACGAGAATATATTACTATCCTGTTCAAGGCAAGTTTTCACACTGCTGGATATTTTCTCCTGTATGTTCATCCACAAAACTAATTCAGACTACCACTGCTTGGAACATTCACTGACCAATGTAACTACTAACTGTGAGTCAGCTGTCCACAAGAAGTCCCCACCAAGTGAGAACACTCAGTTGATCCACCTGAGTCAATGCTCATCATATCTTTGCCTAAAGAAGAGTTGAAAAGATATAGTCATGCTTGGAGACAAAAAGACCAACAGGAGTGAAGTAGTCTGTGAACGAGAGAAAGAGTAGCTATCAAACACTACAATGTAATACTATAAGGAACAATATCCGTAATCCATTCATACCTATCGTGCTACCAAATTTAGGTAATCCCTACACCAGATATTGTAGCAACTGTTCTGTTTTTTTATTTTTGCCCTTTTCAGTACTTGCAAGTGGGTACGAAGTGTTTTGACCTAAAGAATCTATCTGCCCTCTCGTTGTATACACAACGGATACGTTTTTCGTAGGTATCAAACCAATCTGAGTTACTCAATCAATATAAAAAATTAAGTAAACTGTATTTACGACTTGAGGTTGATAGCCTCTCATCATCTGTTGACATGGTTGCAAACTACATTTCACCGTACGTAATGATCAGACCATCACAATCTCACATGTCATACACTTAGAATTGAAAAAAATATTAGACAACACAATAAACTATACTAAACGCAACACAGTCGCAGACATGTTCGCCTTCATCTCTTCAAAAACCTCATGATTGCGTCAAAAATTGTATTCTTGACATACTTTGTGTTTAAGTGAGAATCTCTTACACGGTCCAACAAGCATATAGCGCACACACATGAAAGACTAAAAATATAAAGATTTAAAAACTTTAGTCTCTTATACAACACCCTGAGATATTTCTCGCTAATCATGTCAAGCGTCTTCCTGAGCTCTTTTGAAAATCATGAGTCTTGCTGCACAAGCTTTTAACCTTTTAAAGTTTTAAAGAAGGTAAAAGAAAATCTCAATGTTTATGTGAGAATTAAAATGCCATAATTTAAGAAACACGTTATAGTTTTTCTTATACAAAATGCTGCGCACCATTGCAGTACATGTTCCGGTGTCTAGAATTGTGGGGAACACTTTATAGAATTTTGTCAGATCCTTGTAGAAATACCATCAGTACGCGGCCCTCGTCTGAACTCACACTCGTCCTTGTTGGCTAGCGAATCAGAGCGCCAACTTCTCCCCCAGTTCACCAAGGGAAACACCACTGCACAAAATATGCAATTTATGTTGTGAAACGTCTTCAAGCAACTTAAAGAAGTCCAGACGCTTTTCTTTGCAAGCTCCTTTGACTACGATGACCTGGATGACTGAGAACCTTCACAGACAATGTTGCAGAATATTTTTTGTATTATAAACTTTTAGATAAGATCACTTTAACGTCCTCCATCAATAAAAAAAAAGTTTATATTACATTTTCAACCAAACAGCACGTTCTCACATGAACATATAAACTCTTTAGTTTAAAATGTAGCAACAACTCAGCGTCCTTTCTAGTCCATCTTTAGATTTATTTACAAGCAAGTGATACAGATACTGAGACCAAACTATCTTATTTTCTTTGTATGTATGGTATGCTGGTATGTGTTTTGCTCTTCATTTAACTTGATTTTCGAAGAAAAAAATTAAACAAAAAAATATCACATTAGGAGGGAAAGAAAATCTATTTCACACAACTTTGTGCTGTTTCTAAGAGAAGGAAAACAGAGTACCTGAAAACAATTTTCTTTGAAACTTTTAATTTCTTCTTTTTTATTGATCACATAGAGGCTGGCTGTGGTTTACTGCTCTCTTCCTGTCACACTGTCTGACATCTGTTCATCTGTTGGTTTTTGTTCAGGCTGCAGGGATCATTTCTCACTGTGGGAACCTTTCCAACAAACACAGTAGTAAGTGGCTGTAAGTTGGGGTTTAATATCTTTGATGACCAATTCACAGCCACCTGGTTTTCTTAAAGCATTGAAATCTTGTTTCTGGGGATGATTGTAGCGTGAATTAACTGCCCCATCAGCCAGATCAATGCGCAGAATCACTTTAAGAGGATCTTTTTCTGTGTTCTGGTACCAGTAAATCTGTTTTTTGTCACACTGGTCAGTGCTTTTACAGCTTATGGCAACTGTTTCACCAGCTCTCCCAGTCTGTGATAACTGCTCCTGAATCAGCTGTTCTGCTGCCATGGTAACCAGTGCTGTAGAGACACAGACAGATAGATGAAGGTTAGTGTGACAGTGTTTGTTCCAGGTTGACTTTGTTGGCTCCTGATTGGCTGGAAACACTCACCTGAACACAGACAGCACAGAGCAGCAGCTGGGAGGAAAAGCATTTTGTGCAGTGGTGTTTCCTCTGGTGAACCTGGGGAGAAGTGGCGCTCTGATGCAGCTGAGGCCAAACAAGGACGAGCTGTGAGATCAGACGAGGGCCACGTGGTTTCTAACAGGTCCTCAAAGCTCCCATCAGCCCCTGCAGTGGGCACATTAGACACGTTTAAAGGAAGCTATTGCGCCTTTGTGTCTTTGCCTGCTTCTACAGTTGAACTACGTGCAGTCTGCCCCAATACACAGCAAAATCTCCAGTGTTAAATTAACACTTTTGACAGTGTTATATGTTTAAGCTGTGTTAAGCTGTAAACCCATGAAAATCCTAAAAACGACTGGACAGTGTTATATATTTTGAGGGCCACGTGATTTCTAACATGTCCTTAAAGTTCCCAACAGCCCCTACAGTCCACGTACAATTTGATTTATTACTTTTATTTTGAAGCCAAAGCAGCCGATCTTTTGGAGATCCACACTCCAAAATAAAATAAAAGTTATAAAGAGATCAGTGATGTTGTTGCAAAGCCAGAGAGGTAATTGTGCACTTGAGCACACTTTAGCGTATTTGCTAACTATAAGCACCATTTCAAATGGGCTTTCACAGAAGAGGCTTCTGTGTGACAGGTGAGTAGACGGAGTGTTGTTAAACTCGTAACACTCACACAGTGTGTACTTCTGGGGAAAAATAGTCAGTCTGCATACAAATATTTACCTGTGAGTGGAAATGCTGTGTATGCATCTTGTATTAATCCTGACTGTTGGTACTAATAAAATTAACAAAGGCTCTATACTGTGCTTTCAAGTAAACAGTGAAAACAGTGTATAATGTTTTTATAAAGGCCTTTAATAATCGTGTATTACCAGTTTTTCATTATAATTTAGTGTATCTTATGTTTATACGTAAATTTACTCTTAAACAGATCAGACTATTTTATTTTTAATAAAAAAATCTTAAAATCTTGTTGTGCAGTCTGAATGTTTGAAGTTTATTCATTTCCTTTGGTAAAAAGCTTTTATCATCTAAAACAATATTTTTATTGGCCCCTTTTAGTTTTGTTAATTCAAAACATAAACACAGCAGGTTATGGGCTCATTTAAAGCTTACTGATAACTTTGTTCATATTTTAATGTTTTAATTAATAGTTTGGTCAATTTCACAATTATGTTACATTTGCAAAGTGTCTTCGTGACTCTTTATCTTGTAAAAATATTAACAACTAAAGATTTTAAAACCTCAGTGTCTCCTTTTTTGCTTTAAACTTAAGCAACGTCTCTGAAGGTGATGCTGGATTTCCACATTTGTCTGGCAGTTTGTTTCCCTTCTTTCTTACCACAGTAAATAAAAGTTTCAATAAGGTCTCTGTGGTTCGTTTGAAACAAACATATGATGACAAGTTTTGTGGATTTGAGTTTGCTGCTCGTGCTGAGATTAAAAACGAAAAGGATAAGACCGCCATCATGTGGTTATTCAAAAGAACTAAGTAGTTCAAAATCAAAGGGCATTCCTATGAAGAACAAAGGTGAATTATATAATCATATAATGGTGCTCTGTGTTGGTCTATTTTGGGGGGGGGAGTAGTTTACAGTAATTATTAAGGTAACATTTCTTTGACAAAGCTGGATTTATAGCATTTTAAAAAGATCCAGTCGTCTGTGGTCAGAACTGTTGAAACCAAAGAAAAAAGATTTGCTCTTGTTCTGTTTCTTTGTACATAGAGAACTTATCTTTACTCATATATGACATTTATTATCATGTACAAATGTTTTACATAAACACTTCTCATTTGACAAAGTTATTTGGCATGTAGAGGATCTCACAGAATTTCAAACATATCTGTGTGTTTTTGTTTGTTTGTTCCTGAATGAGATAAATAAACCCTGACACTTGTCAGTATTCTGTTCCTCAGAAAAATGCATTTAGCAGTCTTAAATCCAGATCCAAAGCCAGGCCGGACAGCAGCACAGAAAATGGTGTCAGGTTTCTGTTACGTCTGACAGTAAAAGCAGAAAAACAAAACCGTATTCAACCATGCAATAAAAAAAGAAGCTACTCTCAGCTCTTGCCACAAGGGGTCACCACAGAACTGGCCGCTCATGCTGATACAGTCCCAGGGGCAGTGCCTCTGCGAATTCGCAAAAATAAAACTGTTTCTGCAGCATTTTTAAAGCAAAGAATAATTTACTGCCAAAAGATGGTGTGAAATTTTTATTTCAGAGGTCTTTGGTGTGCAGATGATCACAAGGAGACGCCTTCTCTTCATCACCAAAATCACACTTAGTATAAGTCAAAATGACCTTTCTCTCACGTTTTTCTGCAGAAGCTACTCAAGCTCTTACATGGCCCACAATCTACTGTGAACTGAAAACAGATGAACCTGTTCAAGGCAAGTTTCACGCTGGATATTTTCTCCTGATGTCACACAAAAGCATTCAGACTGGCCCACTGCTCTGAATGTGTACACGGCACCCACTCAGGTAAGAGATCTTTCATCATAGTCTGTGCTAAAGAAGAGTGAAAAAATTAGACTGTGGGAGAGAGTAATACGAATATAGTACAATGTAATACTATAAATAGTATCGCAGGTACTACACCAAATTGCAAAGTTTCTGTTTTATTTGCTTTGCAAAGGGTGGACGAGTGTTTACACTGGTTCTGGTTGTTTAACAAGAACGGTACCTACTGGACCTCAATATAAAAAATGTAAGTAAACTGCTATTTACATTAGACGCCCCTGGGCAGGTCACATTGATAGATACAGCACAATTCAATTCAATTTTATTGAAATAGCACCAACTGACACCAACAGTCGCCTCAAGGTGCTTTGTGTGGTAAGGAAAAGCACAACAAAACGCACACAGGAAAGACAAATAAAAATATGTCACACTGGCTTAAACGGGGTCACAGGTCTGGTTTTTCATAAGCCACCTTGAGATGTGCCTTCAAATTGGACATATAGAATTTTTCTTTATTAGTACGCTATATTAGTATTTGCTTCCCTTCAGTGACAGCAATTTGTCCAACTGTGGTTCACCTGCAAAGCCGTTCCCAGCCCCTTCTAGCCATGTCCCTGGGTCCAATCTCAGTCACTCTTTGGTTTAATAGATTCATTTAGAGGAGTGCAGGAGTTCATGCAACCTTATTTAGAAAACGGGCATCTCAGAGCTCCAAAGCTCAACATTGATTTTTATTTAGGGGGTTGAGCTAGACTCTGATATACTTGAGTTAAACATACTTTACAACTCATTTACAATGCAAAGCTCCTTACTGTAATGCATCATCTCCACTGGTGATTTTGTAAACATCTACGATCATTTTAATCATTTGTGCTTAACGTGACACTGAGACAATCTTATTTAAGTCTTATTAAATATTACAGTTAGCATTCAGAAGATGAACTGTGTTTCTGTCCTTTCAGTGTTCAGAGGGTCCTGTTTTGCTTGGTCACTGCTCCAAAACCATTATGTCATTGTTCCCCGAGTCACCTGTCAGGGAGTCGCACCAGGCGGCAGCATCAAGCCTGGTTCGCCCTGAAATAAAGTGCATTCTGATGCATCGCATTTAAGACGCATTGGTCACAACTAGCTTAAAATGTGTACAAAGCTTTTAATATAGCTCTGTGAATTCAGTGTATTGACCGGCGCACAAGGAAACTTAAATCCACATATTTCTAAATGGAGTTCGGCGACGGTTGGTTTCTCTAAACGTCCCAGATCCAGTTACCGCTGGTTACAGCAACGACATTTAAATGGAATGATAAATATTCAATGCGAGCCCTGCTCGGCACCCTGCTAATTTTCCCAGATGGCTAACGGCTAAGCTAACCGGTAAACTCGTGTTGTCAGTGTCTTTAATCCAAACTCTGTTGGTTTTGTACCCCAGATCGTGCAAACCACAGGGCGCAATAAAAGTCTATAAACAACGTAAGTGAAAACTGTATTTCACTGGATTTTGGGGGACCAAAACTATACGTTAGAAGAAGAAAAGCAAACCCAGTCAGTCCAAATTGACATGATTCTGCCGAATTGACTTCCTTACACAACACGCGTCACTGTGACGCGTTGCATTCTGGTAAATGCAGTTAACCTAGGTTTAAGGTTGTAAATGTACACGACTTAACCCGACATACGCGTTTTACTGTTTGAGTTTCTCGCGATTCCAGCTAATGTTCGAACAGGGAAAAGATAAAAATGCAGTCATTTTGATGCTGGTGCGTAGTTGTTTAAACATAGATAAAGAGAAAAAAACTACAAATCCCAGGAACTGACGTCATTACGTATGTACGTCTAGCAACGGCGAACAGCTAAAGGAAAAAACAGCCGCTTCCGTGTTGTTCTTGTGTTATTTTGTAAAATAACTGTCGTTAGCGGAGTCAAAGCTCGCCTGACAGCCTCGCCGGAGTGTGAATATCATGGTTTTGTGAAGCTGACACACAGCGTCAGCCTTTTTTCAGCCAAAATGTCGCTGCTGCAGAGCTCAAAGAAAAAAGACAAGCGTATTTTGTCTGGTACCTGCCCAGACCCGAAATGTCAGGCGAGGCTTTTCTTTCCTGCTTACGGCTCCGTTAGCATCGAGTGTACCGAGTGTGGTCAGCGCCACGAGCAGAAGAACCTGCAGAACGTTGAGGAAGTCACCGACCCCGATGTCGTGCTTCACAATCTGCTCAGAAACGCCCTGCTCGGCGTCACCGGGGCCCCGAAGAAGGGGACCGAGCTGGTGAAAGTGATGGGGCTTTCTAACTACCACTGCAAGCTGTTGTCGCCCGTGCTCACCAGGTATGGCATGGACAAACAAACCGGCAAAGCCAAGCTTCTGAGGGAGATGAACCAAGGGGAGATGTTTGACTGTTCCATCCTGGGAGACAGAGCTTTTCTCATTGAGCCGGACCATGTTTCCACCATAGGCTATGGCAAAGATAGGTCAGGGAGCCTTATATACCTCCACGACACTCTGGAGGAGGTGAAGAAAGCCAACGGCAACAGAGAGTGTCTCATCCCGGTGCATGTGGACGGAGACGGGCACTGCCTGGTCCACGCTGTGTCCAGAGCCCTGGTGGGGAGAGAACTGTTCTGGCATGCCCTCCGTGAAAACCTCAAACAGAACTTCAAGCAGAATCTGGAACGCTACAAGGCACTTTTTCAGGACTTTATAGATGCTGCAGAGTGGGAGGACATCA